ATATTACCAACTTGTTGTTTGATTATTCCTTCCTTTCCAACTTCTGAACTTGCTATAGCACTTGCACTTGTTAATTGTTTTATTCCAAAATTTAAGAATACATCGTTTGCGACCGAATCACTAGACTGTGAGGAATCCGTGGATGAAGATGAGGAGTCAGAGGAAGAAGAAGAAAATAAAAAAGATGAGTAAGTGGATTCTGTGGCTGGATGTTCTAGTTCCGCCTTTGTGCCACCAGGATTTATCCCTTTCGTCTTCTGTTTTTCCACATATTCGCAATAATTACTATGAGTCAGCGAATTTAGTTGCTGCAGTTCTTCGTTCCGAACTTCCTTTTCATTTTGAGGATTAGTGATACTCGCCTCTATATCACTATGCCTGGAAATGTTGATTCTTCGTTGACTTTGATTCATCCAGCTGGACCGCTGAAAATTTTGATGAAATGAAGTTGCCATACTAGAGAATTGCGATAAAGTGGGCGTAAGCATATTTCTCGAATCACTAATAAGGCATGTGCATTTTAGAGGGAGATGATCAAAGGTGGGAGCGAAAGAAAATTGAACACTTTCATTTTCAGACTGCAAGTGACATATTTCAGCCGGATGCTTATTTTGAAAGTCAGTAGCCTTTAATGAAGCGATGGAGGTAGCGTTGACAGCATCTGAAGAGGTAGTAACTAGGTTGAAAGTGGAGCTATTCGCAGGAGTTGATGGAACAGGGAGTTGAGCCCTGAATTCACGAGACACTTGGCTAATTGGTTCTACTTCAGCAACACCAAACGTCGAACCAGCTAATGATGTAAGAGGTGATTCCATAGTTTCAATATGAGTGATGCTAGAACGGCCATGCAAAGGACAATCAGCTAGAGCTCTTAGTCCAGAAGGCCCCAAAAGAACAGCCAATCGACAAAGAGAGACTCGCGCTCTACTTGAGAGACAAGACAAGTTTCTAGAAATGCAGGAAAGTAGGCTGCAGAGAATGCGTATCCGATTAACATTTGTCAACCGAGTCTCCAAAGGAATACATGGGGGCTGAAAAAGGAAAATTAAGTAAAACAGGATAAATGTTAGTAATAAGAGATAACATTTTTCAAAATATCCAAAGTAGCTTTGTGATATAACTCATATTCAGAGGAGTTTAATACATGTATTAAGTTCATTTAAATTTCAGGGGAAAGTGTTTGGTAAAGAAATTCGAACGTCAATCCCACCATAAGACGGCGGATTCCTCTTGACTAGCTGTCGATTGGCTTTACTGGAAAATTCTTGTTGATGTTGCTCCAGAGGCAATCTCCTTAGAGTACGGTGAAAACGTGCTAAGCTTTCGTTCGTCGTATGACGAAAATCATCAGAGCAGGATATCATGCTTACAAATATATTCAAGCTAACGATTCAAGGAAACTCACCGACTCACACCTAAATGCGGTATATATATACTCTATATATAAGCTCTTTGATTAGGTATAAAATGATTTGGTAAGTTCAAGTCATATGTCAACCTCGAAGCATATGAGCGCCTGTCTGTATTAGTATATGTACCAGCATGTGTTCGCATATGTACGAAACTTGCAGTGATATCTCAAAGTAATTAGAAAAGAAAAAGTAACGTCTATTCTCGGTCACCAAGGTTTGTTGACCGCCAACATCCTGCCCTCTATATATTTTAACCATCGCTTCGATGGTGCGTTGCTCTATGTCTTCCTACCAATATGACCAAGCTGTGAAAACAAGGTCAAACAACTTTTATAAAACGAAAGGAGACTGCGACCACACAAAAATCCACGCCATCTTGGTCTTCATAGCTTCGATTATAAAGGCTAAAGTTTAGTATATGAAATTGTAGACATCGAAATAGGAAATTATCAGAAAATACATTTATATCCAAGATCCAAAAATAAGATAAGGTCTGGAGCTTAGTGAAGTCAGCAAATGATCTAAATACCGTATAACAAATATTTTCAGACGTGACATTTCGCATAGTTGCCGTCTAATTTTATTGAATTGCCTCGTTACTTCGCCAAAATTCAATCTCATTTACATGGAGCAATCGGAGGGGGAAATATGTTCTATATCTGCCATTGCATGTATGCTTCCGGTACTGGTTCATAAACCAGGTCAAGCTGCGAAAACAAGGTCAAACAATTACTATACATCGAAAGGAGACAGCGACAAAAATAGAGGTCTTCGTATCTAGGTATATATAAAGTTAATTTTTCATCCAAATGAAATTTTACAGGACAAGTTACATTCATTTATCTCCTTCATACTGATGCAAAATTATTTTTACCCTTGCTATTTTGTTAATATTTTACACTTTATGATGGTGGATGGTTAGCACACGCTTCTTGTAACCTATGCAATAACTTCGAGCCACACATTTAGACCACCATACCAAAGGGACTTGAATAATTGTCGTTCTAATAAGGACCCTGTAATTCTTAAATATTGCTAAGACGAAAAAAATAAAATCAGTTTAAAGTTCTCTAAGGTCTGTGACTAATTAGTAAATGACGTTCATGGAGAAAAAAAAAAAATCCCAATATAGTCAATACTATTCATTGAGCATTTAATTATCTTGCAGATTCGAGATTGGTGGGTAGCAACTTTAAGTTAGTAATTAAAAAAATTACAAGCAAATTTAACGCACATATAAATAAAAAATATAAATAAATTTATAATCATATCGAAGTTAATTGTTTATATATTCTATTTGCTCCAAGGATAAGG